GCGCCGGCCGGCCGGTCCGGCGCCGGGCCATGGCGCTGTTGCGGGACGTGTCGCTGCAGGATCCGCGAGACCGCTTTGAGCTGCTGCAGCGTGTGGGGGCCGGGACCTATGGCGACGTTTACAAGGTGCGCTGTGCGGGGCGGCAGGACGGGCGGGAGCACCGGAGGAGGGTACATCTGCGCGTCCAGCCGCAGGAGCCCCGGCCCCGCCCCCTCCTCACCCCGCTTCTTGCCCTGCGCCCCGCAGGCCCGTGACACCGTCACGTCCGAACTGGCCGCGGTGAAGATCGTCAAGCTAGACCCAGGTGTGGGCCCGGGTGGGGCCTCTGCGCTCCAGGGAGGCGGGCGCGGGCGCGTGAGCTGGCGGGGGCGGAGAGTTGACATTTCCGAGACCCTCCAGAGAGGCCGACCCCAGGCGAGACTAAGACCTGGTACCTGCCAGGCGAGTAGAGAAACGCTGTGCCCAGTTTGCACATAGGGGCAGAGTCTGGGTTACCCCTGTGTGCCCCCCCCATAATGCCTTGTGCTCCCCAGGGGACGACATCAGCTCTCTTCAGCAGGAAATCACCATCCTTCGCGAATGCCGCCACACTAATGTCGTGGCCTACATTGGCAGCTATCTCAGGTGAGGTTGTTTACCCTCTTACTCCAGACTGCCCTCGTGTGCTCTGCTGTGTTCCAGACCTAGCTCTTTGTCCCCCCAGGAATGACCGGTTGTGGATCTGTATGGAGTTCTGTGGAGGGGGTTCGCTGCAGGAGATTTACCACGGTAAGAGACAGGTTCCATGGGACATGGCCTTTCCCCATCCCAAAAAAGGGACAGGAGGGCATCCTCCAGACTGAATTTGGGCTCCTCTCTGCTTCTGATTGGCTGTGTGACCTTGAGAGAAATGCTGTCCTTCTCTGGGCTCAGTATCCCAGCCTGGTGTGGCTAACATCACTTTCCTGTAGTGGTGCTTGCTGCTTCCCACTATGCAGGGTGGCTAGGGAGGGTCACCACATCCCCAGGCTTTCTCTCCAGCCCTCACACTGTCCATTTCAGCTACCGGGCCCCTGGAAGAACGGCAGATAGCCTATGTTTGCCGGGAGGCACTGAAGGTACCGGGCTCCTAGGCAGCACCCGCGTCGGAATCCTCTGGAGTGTGGACCTAACCCAGCTGGCTAGTGGGGGAGTGGGAACTTAGAATGGGCTGTCCCAGGGGCTGTGGGTCCTAACGGGGAGGGGGCCCCAGTTCTTTTGCCGGAAGCAGCCTATTTCCCTCTTGGCTCAGTCACTTCCTGTTTGGGGAGAGGGGAGGAGGAAGCGGCTTGGGTGGGGGGCCCCAGTCCTGAGGAGGGGCTCAGGGGAGGTGATTAGTGCTAAGTAGCTGTCTTTAAAGACTTCTCTTTGTCCCCAGGGGCTCCACCACCTGCATTCTCAGGGCAAAATTCACCGAGACATCAAGGTAGGGGTCAGCCTAGGACATGGTTCAAGTGAGGAGGAAGCTGCCAGGCACCTGATGGAATCCTTTCTGTGTCCCCCTAGGGTGCCAACCTTCTGCTCACTCTGCAGGGAGATGTCAAGCTGGGTCAGTCCCTGGGAATGCCATGTGGGTGAGGGTTTAGCAGGGACTCAGACACCATGGATCCCAGTCACCTTACTACTTGAGCCTCAGTTTCCCCACATAGGAGATGTAACAATATTACCTGCCTGCCAATAGTTGACCAAGATTAGGTTGGGAGGGACCTGACATGGAATCAGGTTTTCAGAGATGGAAGGTTGGTGGCTCCTCTCGGAAGAAGGGCCTGGCCTTGCTTGGGACAACTGTGGCTGGACCCAAGCCCTGCCTGGTATAGCCTGCGCACTGGGGTGGAAGGTAAGTGTGGCCCTGGGACTGGTAAGAGCCTGTTCTTCCTGCAGCGGACTTTGGGGTATCCGGTGAGCTGACAGCGTCTGTGGCTAAGAGGCGGTCTTTCATTGGCACTCCGTACTGGTAAGATGGTGCTCTGGACATAGGGGTAGGGGCCACAAGTATGGCATCTGGTCGTCCCATCTGTGATCCTGACTCTAGGATGGCGCCAGAGGTCGCTGCTGTGGAACGCAAAGGTGGCTACAATGAGTTGTGTGACGTCTGGGCCCTGGGCATCACTGCCATAGAGCTGGGCGAGCTACAGCCGCCGCTGTTCCACTTGCACCCCATGAGGTCAGCCTAGCACATGCCCCTTGCCTGACCCTTGTCCTGCTGATCCTTGACCCATGACCTCAAATGCTCCCTAGGGCCTTGATGCTCATGTCGAAGAGCAGCTTCCAACCACCCAAGCTGAGAGACAAGACACGTTGGTGAGGGCTCACCCACAGCCGAAATACCCTTTTCCAGTTAAGGCCCATGGGATGGGAGCTCTTGCCAAGGGTCGGGCTTGGTTCCCCTCTAGGGCCAGAACTCCGTATGGAGGGAAGGGCTGGTGGCTTGTGATGGAGGCATTGCTATGGTGCAGCAGTGCCACTGTGCCAGCTGCTTTTTCCTTGGTGGCCGGCTGGGCAACTCACAGGCTGCTTCTGTGCAGAGCTTAACCTGGGTCTGGGTGGGCGGGACTTTTGTGCCCACTAGGACCCAGAATTTTCACCACTTCCTCAAGCTGGCCCTAACCAAGAACCCCAAGAAGAGGCCCACAGCTGAGAAGCTTCTGCAGGTGGGAGGCAGGGAATGGCCCCGGGGGCTTGAGGCTCAAAGACCTAGAAGGCAGGGGCCAACCTGATCAACCCCTGCTCCTCTAGCACCCATTCACAACCCAGCAGCTCCCTCGGGCCCTCCTTACGCAGCTCCTTGACAAGGCCAGCGACCCCCACCTGGGAACCCTCTCCCCTGAAGACTGTGAACTGGAGGTAAAACAAGGACTGGGAGCTGGTCAGCCCCACCTGGGTGGCAGGGGCCTGCAGGTGATGTAAATCAGAATCTCTCTGACTTGTGGATTCTAGCACAGAGCCTCTCTCCAGTCAGGCCCACACGCCATGACTCTCTTGAGCAGGTCTGGCCTGCCTGCATGCCCTCAGGTCCAAGCCAGCTATAACTATGACTAAGCTATCTTCCTCTCTGTGTGGCCTTTGGCAAGTTTCTTGACGTTTCTGTGCTGGTTCTGCCATCTGTAAAATGAGGGCTGTTTTATTTCATAGTAACCTTAGAGGGTTGTCAAGACCTGGAAGAATTCCTGGCAGGGCTGAGTACTAGGTGCAAATCTGCTGTGTGTGTTCTTTCTTAGACCCAGGATATGTTTCCAGATACCATCCATTCTCGGGGCCATCATGGTCCGGCTGAGAGGACCCCCTCCGAGATCCAGTGTAAGTCTTCTGACAGGACTAGCTAAATGCGTCTACGAATCTGGTGTTATTTTGGGGATCCTAACCAATACTCTGGATCCCTAGTTCACCAAGTGAAATTTGGCGCCCCTCGCCGGAAGGAGACGGATCCTCTCAATGAACCGGTGAGGCACTCATTGGCTGTGTGGAGGGGGGTGGTGTAGTGTAGGGTGGGGTCAGGTGTGCAGATTCAGGTGGGACATCCTAATTCAAGGCCAGTCCAAAGCTGGGGTGCCTGTGTCACCTGGGGGCCTGGACTGGAGGCTCCTCCTGGGTCATTTTCCTTAAGATAACACTGGAAAGTGGAAGGCCATCCCCTTTGAAAGCCTAGGTTTCCCAGGACTGAGAATACTGCTCAGTCTGCCTGTTATGGGATCATGTCATTTCCTCTACTCTTCCTCTCCAATCCCATAGTGCTCCTCTCTGCTCCACTGCCTTACTGTCTCCTCTCTCTGTCTTGTCATTTTGTCTGTTACAAGTCTTTTGTCTGTTGCCAGAGTATTCTCCGTCTGTCTGTCTGCTCTGCTCTCTCTTGCTATCTCTCTCTCTGTGTTAATGTTGAGACATGATCTCTATCTAACTTACCCTAGCTTGCCTTGAACTCTCCTTGTAGTCTAGGTGAGCCTCGAGTTCCAGATCATTCCTGGCTATTCCCTACCATCTTGTGATACCCTTCTCTTTTTCTTTCCCTCTCTCCTGATGTCTTTGCCTTGGTTTCCTCCAGTGGGAGGAGGAATGGACGCTGCTGGGAAAAGAGGAACTGAGTGGGTGAGTGAGCAAGACTGGGGAAGCTGTGGGGCAGGTTGGGTCTTATGTAAACCTGACCATTGACCCCTTTCTCTGGCCCAGGAGCCTGCTGCAGTCGGTCCAGGAGGCCCTGGAGGAAAGGTGAGGGGCCCGTACCTAGGATGCAGAAGGCCTCCCAGGCCTAGGGGTCAGTCTCACCTCACATCCCATCATATAATCTGCTGTCTCCTTGTAGGAGCCTGACTATTCGACCCGCCTTAGAACTCCAGGTGTGGATCAGAAGAGGGTGGAACTGGGAAGTAAGCCCTGTGCACAGGGTGCTTTGGGGCAGAGAGTGCATCACAGGGCACCTGCTGATGACCAGACTGTTTCTGATCCTCTTGCCAGGAGCTGGACTCCCCAGATGATGCCATGGGAACCATCAAACGGGCCCCGTTTTTGGGGCTGCCCCATACTGAGCCAACACCTGATGACAATGCCCAGCCCTGCTCCCCAGGTGAGGCCCAGGCTTGGCAGGCCAGGAGGAATTCTGGGTAGGGATGGGGCTTGGAGTCACTATGGTCTGTGTGTACAGGAACCCCGTCTGCACCTCCGCCTGGTCCTGGCAGCCCACCATTGCTGCCCACTGCCTGGGCCACCCTGAAGCAACGGGAGGATCCTGAGGTGAGAGGGTACCAGAGGGGCGAGAGGTAGGCTGAAGGGTGTACCTGGGCCCTGACTCCTTCTATCCTACAGAGATCATCCTGTCATGGCCTTCCTCCCACCCCTAAAGTGCACGTAAGTGTTCGCTGGGTGTCCCTAGACCCTGCTGTCCTGACGTTCCCACTGGTCCCTCACCAGCTACTTGATTCCTCCCCAGATGGGTGCCTGCTTCTCCAAGGTCTTCAATGGCTGTCCCCTGCAGATCCATGCTGCTGTCACTTGGGTACACCCTGTGACTCGAGGTGGGCCGGGGCCTAGAGGACACCCTTAGGTTTGGGCCAGGGGGTGTAGCAGCCTCTGACCCCATACCCACGTCTGCAGACCAGTTCCTGGTAGTAGGGGCCGAGGAAGGCATCTACACTCTCAACCTGCATGAACTGCATGAGGATACGCTGGAGAAGGTGAGGCCTCCTGTCTTTTGGGGACACACAGGTACAGGGGTGCTGGGTGCTGAGCACCTGTGTACTGTTTGGCCCCAGCTCATCTCTCAGCGCTGCTCCTGGCTCTACTGTGTGAACAACGTATTGCTGTCACTCTCAGGTAGGAGGAGGAGGGAGCAGAGGCAGCCAGCGCACCCTCCCCCAAACTTTCTCTGAGCCCTGCGTGATCTTCCCCTTCTGTTTCAGGGAAATCCACGCACATCTGGGCGCATGACCTCCCAGGCCTGTTTGAGCAGCGGAGACTGCAGCACCAGGCACCCCTCTCTATCCCTACCAACCGTATCACTCAGCGCATCATCCCCAGGTTGGCAAGTGTGGCGTGTGGAGGAGGCCCAGAACAGTACCGACTGGATGGGGCTCTGGCCACTCCTGAGACGGCCAGGATCTTAGCTAATCACCTAGGCACTTTTCCGTCCCTGAGGCTGTTTCCTCCTGGTCAGTACAGTGGCCTCGCCTCCTGTCCTCCTGGCTTGTTGAAATGCAGAGGAATGTGAGCATGAAAGCCCTCCGTAGACGGTGGGGCAGTGGGCTTCACCCAGCAGCTCAGAGGGCCCTGTGCGGGGCCTGCACATGACTCAAGGGAAGCCCAGCCCTGGAGAAACAAAGGACATGGGCATTTATGGCAGACTGCTTGATTCAGGGCAGAGGCAGGCAGGGTTGGGGAGAGTGTTCTGGAAGTCAGGAGGCTGAGACAGCTCAGAATTAGAGAGTACATCCCAGTGTGTGAGGGCAAGGGAGAGTATGCAGGTGGAACCACAAAATAAGACCTGGGGAACCCCTATGGTGGTATTGGACCTGAGGGCTGAGGACCCCGCACAGGTGGCGAACCCTTACTCTGTTGCCAAGCCTAGGATCTGGACTCTGTCCAACAGACGGCAGTGCTGTTGAGCATTTCAAAGGATTCTATTGTGTACTGATCAGTATGCTTCCTGCTGGAGGTGGTTCAGCCCACTGTTTAAGAGCCGGGCTGGTGTGGTGGCTCATGCCTGACATCCCAGCAGTCACAGGAAGATAGCAAGTTTGAGGCCAGCCAGGGCTACATTGGGAGACTTTGTCTCAAAAACAAAACACAGCTGGGCATGGTGGTGCATGGCTGTAATTTCAGCACATGGCTGGTAGGGGTAGGAGAACCAGGAATTCATGGTTTTCCTTGTCTACCGATACTGAGTTTGAGGCCAGCCTGAGCTATTTGAGTTCCTGTCTCTGAAAACAGAACACATTGGCCGTATAGAGGGCTACAGTAGAAATAGTGTTTGAGAAGCAGCATGGCCAGGTCTGGGAACAGGCTGCAGGGGAGCCCCCTGCAGAAGATGAGTGACCCAGCATTAATGTGCAGCCTGAGGTGCAGCCCGTTAGCCAGTAACTATGGAGCCAGTGCCTTCTCATATGTTGTGACATTGTGCAGGGCTCAGGCACATCTGTGAACTGAAGAGACCCTTTCTCCCTTCTGTTTATGCCATGTTTTTTTTTGTGGAGAGGAGGTAGATGGTAGGTCCAGAAAAATGAGGCTCTTTGGCAGTGACGACTCAGAGCATACCCCGTGGGGAAGAACAGAACAAAGGAGAGGACTTTCAAGGGCCATTCTGAGAGCCTTCTGTGAGAAAATGCTGTTTAAGCCAAGACTGAGGACAGGCTGAAGCTGCAGCTCGTTGGGAAAGACCTGGAATCAAAGGCATGTGCCAGCACCACTTTTTAAAATTTTAATTTTTAAAAGAAGCTAAAAAGGACTTGGTGGCGCACACCTTTAATTCCAGCACTCGGGAGGCAGAGGCAGGTGAATCTCTGAGTTCGAGGCCAGCCTGGTCTACACAGAGAAAGGCTGTCTCCGGGGGAGTTAGAGCTGTGGGTGTGCAGGGGAAGTTACCAAGGAGAAGGGATGCTCAGTGCAGGGGCCTAGTGCAGAAGTGAGTATGACTTGCTTCAGGATCTGTCCGCAGGGAGGCCTTGGGCTCTGCCTCACAGCAGGTTGGCTCAGTGGCTAGCAACAGAGGCATGGGCTGTAGTTGGAGTAAAGAAAGTAAAAATTGGTCTGGTTCTGTTTTTTTTTTTTTAAGATTTATTTATTTATTATGTATACAATACAGATGGTTGTGAGTCACCATGTGGTTGCTGGGAATTGAACTCAGGACCTTTGGAAGAGTAGGTGGTGCTCTTAACCACTGAGCCATCTCTCCAGCTCCCGGTCTTGTTCTGTTTTGCAAGTGGAGCCAGCAGGATTTCCTGGTACTAGGTGGTGTTGGAAAGGGAAGGGGAGTCAAGGCTGAGGGAAGGATGGAGCTGTCATCAGTTATGAGTGACGTAAGAGTCTGGGCTGAATTCAGATTTGCCACATTAAATAAATTATATGCCTGTCATCCCAGCATTCAAGAAGTTGAGGCAGGAGGATTACTGAGATTTGATGCTACAGTGTGAGACCTGGTCTTAAAACTTGCATTTCAAAAGACACTCTGAGTGGGACCTCCCTAGTCCATCTGGGAGAACTGGAATGCCAAGAAGAGTGGGCCAGGCAGGGGCTCCAGTGTTATTGTGACCAGGCTAGGCCAGAGGCAGCAGTACTGGGGAGACCTAGAGGAGAGCCTTAGCTACAGAGCTCACACTAAACCTGTGCTTGGTTCCCTGTGGCCTCCGGGCTTCTCTGACTCCCAACCTTAGGCGACAGACTCTGGCAAGTCGGGCAGCATTGAGTCTGTTTTCTTTGAACATAAAGAAGGGAAGAAATGGAATTCTTTAGAGGAAACATGGGACACAAAAGTATATGCCCCTGACCTACCCAGATGTTAGCTGGTGAGCGAGGAGGAGGAAGAGGAGGGCAGAGGGCAGTGCAGTGAGGCCGACACTGCTTCCTCCCAGGGGCCTGTCCTGGCAGGCTCACAGACAGGAGAGTCACTGGGAGGAGATTGCCCTCTTAGCAGCTTAGTTCCTTAGTCTCAGATGGTCAGTCCCCTGAGGGCAGGGGGAATTCTTCCTAAGACAGCCACCCACTGGCCCCATAGGTCCCTCTGCCCCAGCGAGGTGCAGAAGGCAGACCGTTTGCTGTTTGAAGTATACATTTCCCAGTCAATTTTTGTTCGTCAGTCTATGGAAAGGGTTGAGGATACGTAAGCGGGGACCTGCCTCAGCTTTGGGTCTTCCTGCTTCCCGCTTTACACGGCAGTGAGGAAACAGGTGCAGAGAGGGAAAGTTGTTTAAAACCTCACAGAGCCATGCTGGGTGGTGGTGGCACACGTCTTTAATCCTAGCACTCAGGAGGCAGAGGCCAACCTGCACTACAGAGTGAGTTCCAGGACAGCCAAAGCTATACAAAAACCTGTCTTCAAAAACCAAAAAGAAAAAAAAATTTTGTTTGTTTGTTTGTTTGTTTTGTTGTTGTTGTTGTTGGTGTTTTGTTTGGTTTTTCAAGACAGGGTTTCTCTGTGTAACAGCCATGATTGTCCTGGAACTTGCTCTGTAGACCATGCTGGCCTTGAACTCACAAAGATCCACCTGCCTCTGCCTCAGCCTCCTGAGAGTTGAAATTAAAGGCATGCACCACCACCGCCCAGCTAAGAAAGTAGTCTTAAAAACAAAACAAAACAAGCCCCTTCCCAGAGTAGCTCCAGAGGCTCCCAGATCCTCAGTCCCTTGCAGCTCTTACATTGCTGCACCTCTCTGAGCCTAGAGTCTCATCTGTGAAGCAGGACAATGACAATGACCACTTCTCAGGGCTCAGTGGAGGCCTTGCCCGTGATGGCTCCCAGAACATATGCTGGTTTTCACTTCTATAGGCGCTTTGCCCTGTCCACCAAGATTCCTGACACCAAAGGCTGCCTGCAGTGTCGTGTGGGTAAGAACTGGCTGCGGGGCTGGGAGGGGTGCAGTGAGTCTGAGCTCTTGCCCACCAGCCTCCTTCTCCCGCAGTCCGTAACCCCTATACAGGCAGCACTTTCCTGCTGGCTGCCCTGCCTGCCAGCCTGCTTCTGCTGCAGTGGTATGAGCCCTTGCAGAAATTCCTGCTGCTGAAGGTAGGAGGCGACCAGAGGGCCCTTGGGTGGCAGGATGCCCACAGGAGAAACAGAGCCTAGCCTCTCTGCTGTCCCCCAGAACTTTTCCAGCCCCTTGCCCAGCCCGACAGGGATGTTGGAGCCGCTGGTGCTAGACGGGAAGGAGCTGCCACAGGTGTGCGTGGGTGCCGAGGGGCCTGAGGGACCTGGCTGCCGAGTCCTGTTCCATGTCTTGCCCCTGGAGGCTGGCCTGACTCCAGACATCCTCATCCCGCCTGGTGAGCAGCAGAGCTGGGTGTTGCAGGGATGGGACACTTCTAACCAGGCTCTCTGACCTGGGCTTCTGTAAAAGATTTCATTAGACTAGCCTGGGCACAATTCTCAGCACCCACGTGGCAGCTCACAACTGTCTACAACTCCCAAGATCTGACACCCTCACGCAGGCATACATGCAGGCAAAACACATAAAATAAAAATAAATTAATAATAAAAAAGACAGACCAAACTAAATCAAAAGGTTTCCTTAGATTAAAAGGCTTGGTAGCCAAGGAAAAGCTGTCTACCAGTGCATAAGCCTGAGCCAGCAGCAGCAGGAAGAGGGGCTCTGACCAGGTGGGGACTGGAGGCTTCCACTCTGAGCAAGGAAGGATGACATCTCAGCCATGGGGACAGCTGGGGCAATGGGTAGGGAAGGAAAAGAGTTCCTGGTGCCAGGGACCCCTCAGGTGATTTCATTCCTAAATTTTCTGCTGCTTTGTTTTTGTTTTTTGAGACAAGGTTTCTCTGTAGCTTTGGATCCTGTCCTGGCACTCTGTAGACCAGGCTGGCCTCGAACTCACAGAGATTGCCTGCCTCTGCCTCCCGAGTGCTGGGATTAAAGGTGTGTGCCACCACACCCGGCTTGCTTTTTTTTTTTTTTAGATTTATTTATTATGTATAGTATTCTGTTGTCTGCATGTTTGCCTACATGCCAGAAGAGGGCATCAGATTTCACTATAGATGTGAGCCACTTTGTGGTTGCTGGGAATTTAACTCAGGACCTCTGGAAGAGCAAGTAGTCAATGCTCTTGACTTCTGAGCCATCTCTCCAGCCCCTTTCTGTTGCTTTAAAAATATTTTTTTAATTTATTTTACTTATGAATACGAATGCTTTGCATTCATGTATGTATATATACCACATGCATGGAGGTCTCTTTGGGTGACTTGGAGTTCCAGAGGGTTCTGAGCCAGTATGTAGGTGATAGGAATCAAACCTGCATCCTAAGGAAGAGCAGCCAATGCCTTAACCACTAAGCCATCTCTCCAGCCCCCTCAGTTGTAATTCTTAACAACAGCCCTGAAAATAGGCTTTGTCATGTTTGAGTTACCAAAGAGGAAAATGAAGTTCAGAGAGAGGAAGTGACTTGTGTTAAGTCACACATCTACGGAGTCTGACAGCCTAGTTTGTCTGACCCCGCATCCTTCTTAGGCTCCACTAGGACCCTGGAACCCCATCCTCGCTCCTGATAAGCCTAAAGGCAAGTCCCTTATTCTGCCTATGACCCTGTAGGGCTGGTGTGAAGTAGACTGTTGGCTTAGGACTGTCTGCTGCATGTCCCCTCAGTCCTTGGGATGCAAGAGTGGGCTGGCAGCTCAACCAGACAGGCCTTGCCTCCCTTCTCTGCCCACAGAGGGGATACCAGGCTCCGCCCAGCAGGTGATCCAGGTGGACCGGGACACAGTACTGGTCAGCTTTGAACGTGAGTGCCCTAGGGTCAGGGTTGGGGGGCTCTAGCAGGCCTGAGCATGGCAAACATGGTGCGACAAGTTTTGCCTTCCCCTTCTCCTCCATTCCCTCTACTTTGCTAAACCACTAGATTGCATTCCTAAAGCTAGCCACCAAGGTCTGTTCCTTTATTTGGCCACTTCCTCCTGAGGCTGACTACCAAGGTGCAGCTATCATTGAAGTCCAGCAGTCAGAAGCCCCCTTTTGACGGCCCTAATTAACACATCCAATCAAAAGTAACCAACTCTTCCTAACATGGTTTCTCCTTTCCCTTTATAAACTGCCATTTGCCTATAGGCCAAGTCTGTCTTCTCTCTATCCAGAGGCAGGCCTTTGTCTCCCTGGGAGAAATAGCTCACTACCACCCGGCCCTGGCCTTGTTCCTTTCCCCTAATCTCTCATCTTTTATCTCTTGTCTTTGTCTCTTATTCTTTGCCCTTTGACCCTGCCCTTTGTCTCCTTTGTGCTGAGAACTTGATCTTGGGGTGTCTTGTGCTGATTTTGAGGTCCTCTCAATGGTGAGGAAGGGGGGTCTGCCATCCAAGAAGGGAGCCACCTATCACCTACCTACCAGTTCTCTCCCTGTGCAGGCTGTGTGAGGATCGTTAACTTGCAGGGTGAGCCCACAGCTGCACTGGCCCCTCAGCTCACCTTTGACTTCCCTATTGAGACCGTGGGTGAGTAAGCCAGATGTGGGCATGGCAGCATCCACAGTTCAGAAGGTATGGGACTAGCTCAGGGTTCAGGGTTGGCCGTGGGACCAGGGTAGATTCCCTACACCTATGGGGAGCCATCCTGGTCACTCAGGGTCAGTGAGGACCCTTGTATATTGGACTGGGTCAGGCCTTATGGCAAGGATGGGGGAATTTGTGGAGTGTGGGGGTAGTGTAGGGGTCAACAGAGCCCATTCTTCCAGTGTGTCTGCAGGACAGTGTGCTGGCTTTCTGGAGCCATGGCATGCAGGGCCGAAGCCTTGACACCAACGAGGTGAGTGGGGCTCAGAGACCTGACTGCCTCCAACTCTGAGAGCCCTGCTTAGAAAGGACCTGTCGGATGATCTTAGAGTTCCTTGTCCTCTAGGTGACCCAGGAGATCACAGATGAGACCAGGATCTTCCGGGTGCTGGGAGCCCACAGGTAGATAAAGATGGCACCTGAACTGCACCTTCATGGCAGTTACCACCCCCAGGCTAGAGGTAGGGATGGGCTCACTAGGCTTTCCTGCCTCGCTCACCCTGTGTGCCTCTCCCCACACCAGGGACATCATCCTGGAGAGCATTCCCACTGACAACCCTGGGGCACACAGCAACCTCTACATCCTCACAGGCCACCAGAGCAGCTACTGAGCTGCCCCCTCCAGCCTCTGCTAGGGCCCCAGAGGGCAGACCTGATTCCGAGAAATGTTTGGGGGCAGGGAGGGGAGGTAGCCCACCCCCCTCAGCAATAACTGGACCAGAGGAAGCTGCGACCACCTCCCTCCCTGCAGCATTGTCCCCCGTACAGGAGGCCCTGGGCGGGATGGGGCTGCCTGGCTGATCCATTCCATTTCTCACTTTTCCTTTCTATTCTTTCTGCCAAGAGCCTGCCCCAGGTTCTATCCTGGGCAACATGTATTTAAGAGAGAATTATATTGGAATTAAAGCTGGTTGGCTTTATCCCGTTAGTCCCTCTGAAGTGGAGGCGTTGAGCTCCCCTCCCCCACCTTCCGCCCCTTCTCTTTCTCCTCTCACTCTTTCCTGCGGGACACTTTTCTCTAAGTACTTGGTTGGCCTCAGGTGTGCGCTGTGGAAGAGCAGCGGCTGGTGCTCAGTGGAATCTAGACTCAGGTGACACAAGCCAGTGGTCTAGCAGCCATCTTGGGCCTGGGTCTTCCTGGTCCCTGCCCATGACAGCCCTCATTCAGTTTTATAGATTGAGACAGGTATTTGGCATTTTGTGGATCATGCAGGGGAATTATGAACAAAGGGACCTGTCCGGGGCAGCCTTGCCCCAAGTAGGATCTTGCTTGTGGTTTGTGGGAGGATGCTGGAAGCTAGCCAGGGAGCTAGCTACCATGTCCATGACCATTTCTGGGATCTGCACCCTGGCCGTGTCTGCTGCAATGTTCCATGACAGGCCTGTAACAACATTGCGAAGTATCGGCTTAGCCTGGGAAGATGGATGTGGGTCTCTTTAGTGTTCATTCATTCCAAGTCAGGCCTGGGATCACTACCAAAATTCAGCTCAATACCCAAGAAAATTGTTGGAGCCCATCTCCCTTGCGCCTTAGCTTGTTTTGTATTGTCCTCCCTTAGTCCCCTTGCAAAGGGCTCAGAGCCCCCAGGGCCTGGTACCCTTCGAGCCCTGTGGCCCCAGATACTGACTGGCTTGCCATTGACCAAGATCATTGAAGGGAGGGCTAAGCGGGTTGTAGAGCAAAGGTCTAGAGCCCAGTGCTCCGTTCCAGCTCCTTGTCACCCTCCTGACATTTAGAGCAAATGTTGGCAGAAGAAAGTCTTCTGTCTGGTGTTCTGGCTGCAAGTACTTGCCAGCTCAGTGAGGCAACGGGTGGGTGAGGGTGGGTGGTGACAGCTCATGTGAATGGAATTTGTGGCCCTTATGGATGTCACTGTCCCTTTAACTACCCTCTTCAGAGCCCTAATGCTCAGTTTCTAGTGACCAAGAGGGTTGCTTGGCTGATGAGGGAGCCGGGCCAGGAAAAGGGACAGAGCATATGTCCTCAGTGAGACCCCAAGTCATCTGGAGAGTCGAGGGAGACAGGGTGCACAGTAAAGTTCTAGCTCCCGGATTTCTTGGAGGCATGCTGGTGTGTGTGGGGGTGAGAGTTCCAGCCCAGAACACTTAACCCAGGTGCCCTGGGAGACCAGGCCCTCGGAGTAGTGGGCTCCACACAGTGCCACCTTGTGGCAGGGAGCTCAGCCCAGAGTCCATCTGAAAAGGTGGTTTAGGGGTATAAGATGCCAAAGTGAGAGCTGTGAAAAACAAGGCCCACTGATAGTATTTGGTGCCACAAGCCAAAGATGGGGCAAGCCAGGACTATGCACTGAAAGATGTGACTTTATTTATGTATTTGTTTATAGACAGCCTTTTTCAAGTACAAAAGAGAATTCAGTGAAGCTAGGCTGTGGTGAATGCCTGTCATCCAGTACTCAGGAGGCAGAGTACTGTCTGTGAACTGTAGTCCAGCCTGGTCTACATAGTGAGTTCCAGGCCAGCCGAGGTTTTATGTAGTCAAGATCCTGCCTCAAAAATAAATAAGACTGTGTCTCATTTGTCCTCCACTCCGTCTAGAAGTATTTATGATATTTAAACAACTTGGTATATTTTTATTCATATGGCACCAGTCCATATATCCTGCTGGAGCTCTGGAAGTACATTCTAGAGACCTTTCCATTATCAACCTGGTCTATTTTTGTATAGCTTGTGCTGGATTGTACACATTTCAGGTGACTAATGTTAACTGAAAGATCCTTATTGAGGAATGTATTTCTACTTTAATATCATAAACCACACTGCAATAAATAACTCCTGTGTCAGAGCCACTCTGTGTACTCAAGTGTTTCTGGGGGATCAATTCCTGGAAATAGCATTGCTGGGTTGGAGCGGTTGTGTTTGCCACAATGAGCTACCATAAAATGCCCTCTGTTGGTGTTATCTGGGGGTTGGGGCTTCTTCATCACTCTGTGGATAGAGATACATCACCAATTATGGTGACTCACACCTGTCACCCAGCACTTTAGAGTCTGAGGCAGGATTGCCAGCCAGGGCTACATACTGAGACCCTGTGTGCTAAAAGAACAGCCGGGCAGTGGTGGTGCAGGCCTTTAATCCCAGCACTTGGGAGGCAGAGGCAGACGATCTCTGTGAGTTCGAGGCCAGCCTGGTCTAGAGGTGTAGAGGAGCTTCTGGGGTGAGAGGGAAAGTGATGTGCACAGGGCAGGTGCCATATCTACTGGGCTTGCTTTTCTCCAGGGTGCACCATCAGCTAGAGCAGGGCAACGGTTGGGCAATCAGGAGATCCTCTAAGTCCTTAACACAGCAACACCAACAGGTTTTAAACCAAAACAGGAAGACCCATAAAATGGCAAATGTGTGCCAGAAAGTGTGCTAGGAAGCTCAGAAACTAGCAAAACAACCACCAGCTGGCCATGCATGCTTATACACAAAGTCATGGGAGGCTGAGCACAGTGGTGCACATCTGTAATCCCAGCACTTGGGATAGGCAGGAGAGACCAGTTTAAGGAGAGGAAATGAAAATGGCAGCTTTCACTGGGTGGTGGTGCTGCACGCCTTTAATCCCAGCACTCGGGAGGCAGAGACAGATGGATCTCTGTGAGTTCAGGGCCAGCCTGGTCTACAGAGTGAGTTCCAGGACAGTCTCCAAAGCTACAGAGAAACCCTGTCTTCAAAAAACAAACTAAAAGGCAGCTTTCAAGCCCGGGCCTCAGCAGCAGGGACTGCACAGGAGGTTGTTGCCTGACTCACCTGGAATGGAGGGAAGGTTGACAGTGCGGACTGTAGATACTATGTTTATGGCTTTGTTTTGGTCTATAATGGAGGGGGTCAAACCCAAGGCCTTACATTAGGCACCCACTCTGCCACCTGGCTTAATCCTCAGCCCTAGAAACCGTGTTTATACTATAAACATAGAAAAATGTCCAGAATGATCAACTTAATGAGTTAATTATTTTTGAAGCTGAGGCAGATGGCTGAGCACTTGTATGGGGAGATGGGAGGGGAAGACAGGAGAATCCGCTTGAGGGCAAACAGCATGGAGCACTCGATGGAGCATCAGAAATCAGAGACTTTTTTTTTTGGGTGGGGGATTTTCGAGACAGAGTTTTTCTGTAGTTTTTTGGTGCCTGTCTTGGAACTAGCTCTTGTAGACCAGGTTGGCCTCGAATTCACGAAGATCCACCTGCCTCTGCCTCCCAAGTGCTGAGATTAAAGGCGTGCACCACCACCACCCATCTAGAAATCAGAGACTTCAATGAGGAAGGAAAACTGACTCCTGAAACATTGTCCTCTGACAGCCACACAAGCCCTGTGGCATGTATACACCTGCATTTACATACAACATACACACACACACTAATTTTGCGGGGGAAAAGTTGGTTATGGTGATAGCTTGTAAACTTGATATAACCTACAATTGCCTGGGAAGTCTTTATGGGACTGTCTAGATCAGACTGGCCTGTGGGCATGTCTTAAAATAGTAAGATTCAGTGTACTGTGAGTGGCACTATTCCCCAGGCAGGGGGTCCCAAAGTGAAGAGCCAATTTTTTTTCTGCTTTCAACTACAGATATAACTATCTGCAAGTTCCTGCCTCAATTTCCCTTAAAAGATAGACTAACCTGTCGGTGTAAGCCAACTAAACCCCTTTTTATTTTTTTTATTTTTTATTTTTATTATTTTGGTTTTTTGAGACAGGATTTCTCTGTGAAACAGTTCTAGCTGTCCTAGAACTCAGTCTGTAGATCAGGTTGCCTTTGAACTCAACAGAGATCCTCCCACCTCTGCCTCCTGAGTGCTGGGATTAAAGGTGTGCATCACCAGGCCCAGATTAAACCCTTTTTTCCTTAAAGTTACTCTTGTCAGAGCATGATTACAACAGTGGAAATGAAACTAGGATGGTAAGTTTGCGTACGGATTGGGAGACTGTAGTTCATGCTTCCCTCCTAAGCCTTTCCCTGTTTTAAAAAGTTTATAGCTGGATGTGATGGTAAATGCCTTTAATCCCAACACTCTGGAGGCAGAGGCAGGAAGATCTCTGTGAGTTCGAGGCCAGCCTGGCCTAAAGAGCAAGTTCCAGACAGCCAGGGCCAAAGAGAAACCCTATCTCTAAAAACAAACAAAAAAAGTTTATTTTTACTTTATGAATAAATGCTTTGCCTGCAAGTATGTACATGTACCATGTGTATGCCTGGTGCCCTTCCTTGGAGGCCAGAGAAGGCACTGGTTCACTTGCAACTAGAGTTAGGAACTGTTGTGAGACACATGTGGTTGCTGGGGAATGTAACCTGAATCTGCTGCAGGAGCAGCAAGAGCCAAAAGCCAGCAACCCCGTTTCCTAACTTTTTTTTTTTTCCCCAGATAGGGTTTCTCTGTGTAACAGCCCTAGATATCCGGGAACTAGCTCTGTAGATCAGGCTGGCCTCGAACTCACAGAGATCTGCCTGCCTGCTTTTCGTAACTTGTTAATGATCCATTCTTTTCACAATTCTCTATAGCATCCCTGCCCCCTCATATTCATATGCTTTACCCAGAAAGAAAATATAGGGCTAGGGGTGCAGCTTGGTGATAGAACACCTGCTTAGCATGCACAGGGCCTTGGGTTTGACCCCTATTGTTGCTAAATAAATAAATGGAAAGCAGATGGTTTCCTAGGGGGTGCAAGGTCTAGAGAATTTACAAAAAGCTAAAATAGGGTGTGGTACAGTATAGGCCTTGGGAAGTAGAGGCAGGAGGACTATCACTCCAAGGCCAGCCTCAGCCACATATTAAATGGAAGCTAGTCTGGGATACGTGAGACCTTGTTTGAAAATAAAAGATAGTTCTTGGAAGGGAAAGACCCTATTCCTGCTTGTTGATCTTCCTGAATCCCTAAGCCCTCTGAGATGGAATGTGAGATGGAGCCATCCTCTATTGTCCTCACGAAAGGCCTTGAGTAAACTTGTTTCTTTTCTTGTGCATGTGTTTGTGTTTGTGAGACAGGGCTTCTCTGTATAGCCCTCACTGTCCTAAAACTCTTTTTGAAGACCAGGCTGGTCTCGAACTCAGAGATCTACCTGCCTCTGCCTCTGGAGTGCTGAGATTAAAGGCGTGTGTCACAAAGGCCTGGCCCCAACTTGTTTCTTTTCTACCAACTTCTTTCCCCTAGGTTTTCATAGAGTGGTTTGCAGTGTCAACTTCAGATTCCAGTGCAGGACCCAAGAGTTTGCAAAAGACTTGGCTTCAATATGTGGCTCTCCAGTGTCGTAATGTTCAGTGTCTGAGTGAAACTTGCATAAGGTGCTACGTAGCTTCATTTATGGATCACATATTCTGTGTAAATGGAAGTTTCTATCCCACCTGGTCCTGCAGCTGTTCAGTCCCAAAGAAACACACTAATATTAATTCCATTTATATATAATTATATTAATTATAAACTGTTTGGCCTATTAGCTCAGGCTTATTAGTAACTAGCTCTTAACAACTTAAATCAACCAATAATTCTTAGGTTTAGCCACAAGGCTTGGTACCTTTTCTCAGTAAGGCATTCTCATCTTGCTTCCTCTGCTTCTGACTGACAACTGCATCTCTGCATTTCCTCTTCCCAGAATTTTCCTAGTCTGGTCACCTGCCTATACTTCCTCCCTGGCTACTGACCAATCAGAGTTTTATTAAACCAATTATGAGTGACAAATCTTTACAGTGAACAAGAGCATTATCTCACAGCAATTCTGTATAAAATTTCAGTTTCAACCAGGTATATAATCACTTAAAAATGAAATATATCTTGACAAAATAAAAACCAAAGGTCTGGGGATTGGTTTGTTTGTAGAGAACTTGCCTCGCATGCAAGAGGCCTGGGTTCCATTCCCAGCACCAGTAAACAGGCAGTGGTAGTAAATATGTCAATAATCTCAGTACTCTGGAGGTGGTGAGAGAAGGATTCAAAATTTAAAGTAATTTGAAGCCAGCCTGGACTACAAGAGACCCTGTGTGGGGTGTGTATGTGAGGGGAGAGCTGGGTGTAATAGCATATGCCTTTAATTCCAGCACTCAGGAGGCAGAGGCAGATAAACCTTTGAGTCTGAGGCCAGCCTGGTCTAGAGTGAGTTTCAGGGCAAAGAGGGCTATACAGAAAAACTGTCTCAAAAACCCCCAAACTCCAACACTTGGAAGGCAGACGTAGGCGGATCTTCTTGGTCACAGCCTGGTCTATACAGTAGTTCTAGGCTTTCTAGAACTAAACAGGGAGACTGTTTCAAACAGAACAAAAATCCCTAAGAGGACTCTACCAAATAAACAGGAGTCAGCCATATGAACTACAAGCAGAAGCTTCTCTCACTGATTTTTCTTTTCCTTTTGGCAAGATTTCATATAGCCAGGCTGGCTCTGACATCGGTGCCTCCTGAGTGCTGTGATTATGGGCATGTGCTACCAGCCCTGCTCACTCTTGTTATTTTGTGTACTACAGATAGGCACTGGGGGCTTTGCATGTTAGGTAAGTGTTTTATCACACAGCTGTCTTCTCTTTCTCTGAAAATGAATGGTGACTGACAACTATGATTCTAGTTCTAGGGGGATCTGATCTGCAGGCTTTCTGCTTCTGCTGGCAACAGGCTTGAACATTAGGTACAAACACAAACTTAGAATGCTCACTTATATACACATGCATTTTTGGTTTTCAAAATTATTATGTGTGGGTGTTTTGCCTGCATGTATGTGTACCACCTGTGATCAGTGGCTGAGATGTCCAGAAGAGGGAGTCACGATCCTATGGAATAGGAGTGATACAGTCGCTAGTTGATATGTGGATGCCAGGACCCCT